TCGCCAGCGTGGCTCTCGGAGCTGGGCCCCCGCAGCCAGGTGGGCCAGCCAGACGGGGGGTCCAACTGGAGAAGGGGCAGCAGAGGGACAGAAAGGCAGAAGGACGCGCTGCGGTAGACCAGCGGCTGCTCCTCCACTGGGTGCTCATGTCGCCCAAGAGGGTGCTTCTGGCAGTTTCTAAGCGGAGGGCAACCCCACGGGAGCTGCCTGGGACAGACCGAAGAGGGACGATGCGGTGCGCTGTGGGCACGGCCGCAAGCGCTTCCCAGCCCACCCCAGGAGTGGGCTCTGCGGCTCCTCCCACGGGAGCTCAGCCCACTTCCCCGTCCTTGGATGCTGCTGGAACAGCAGCACATGGGACCCGGCAAGGCTGTGCCGGCGCGAGGTCACTCTTGCTGCACTCGAAACCGAAGGCTGCCAGGGGTGACGGTGAGAAGTGCCGGAGCGCAAAGGGCGACGTGCAGGAACGCACCCGCCGACACAGATGAGGCCGTTATAGAGGCGCTGCTCACTGACCGCCGGCTGACCACATATGCACAAATGTGCCCAGAGATCCGCCGGCAACCCCAGGACTCCCCAGCCGACTCTCAGATTTTTTGAGCTAAATAAAATGACATTTTAAGCCCCTCAGTGTCGAAGTGACTTGTTTTCCCGCCAAAGCTAACAGATGAGGAGACCAGGCACGAAGAATCAGCTCAGAGACGGCCGCCGTCATCCGGGGAGAACGCCAGGGCCCGCCTGCACCAGCGGGCGGCCGAGGAGACTGGGGGAAGTCTCCTCCTCAGGACAGGGGGCCGAGGGGAGAGGAAGGAGACAGGCAGCCGATCGGACCTGGTAGAGGAAGGACATGAGAGTCCCCACGGGCGACACCCACGCGACGCATCTCGGAGAGGCGTCTGGCGCTGCTAACAGAAGCATGGGAACTGGATAGGAACCAGGTGTGGGTCCGTTTCATTTCGGCCTTGCTAAGCTTGAAGTAAAGAGAGTGGCAGCAGGCAATCGGAAGCCAAGGCCAAAACCTCAAAACAGAGATCTGCACGTGAGAGAACCAGGATCCTCCATGCACAGGTGACAGACGCGACCTTAGAAGCATGAGAGGGAGCGAGGCCCTAGGGTGCAGGGAAGGAAGAGACAGAGCAGAACCCTGGAGAACATTCGGAGTTCAAAAGAAAAAAGGCCAAGGAAACAGAAGCTGGCAGAGAGATGCCTGAGAAGCTTGACAGGGAAACAACACACTTCAGAAAGGGGCGGTGTTAACAGAAACACCTCAGAAAAACTAAAAGGGAGAAAGAGTGAAAGACAAAATGCCCAACTCAGGCCTGGGTGCGGTGGCTCATGCCTGTCATCCCAGCCTTTGGGAGGCCGAGGTGAGAGGACTGCCTCCACCAAGGGGCTCAAGACCAGCCTGGGTAGCTTGGCAAGACCTTGTCTCCACAGTAAATCAGAAAACTAGCCTGGTGCTGCATGCCTGCACCTCCAGCTGCTTGGAAGGCTGAAGCAGGAAGATCGCCAGAGCCCAGCAAGTCAAGGCTGCAGTGGCCGTGAGCACGCCCCTGCACTCCAGCTGGGTGAGAGAGGGAGACTCGGACTCAAAAAACAAACAAAAAGTAACTGCACAGTGCTGACAGGAGTACATGGAGAGTAACAATCACATACAGGAAAGCATGTGTGCAACTTATGCTCAGAGGGACGCGAACAACCTCCCGCACAAGCTAGTTAACGACACAGGGCACAAACCCTGGCGAGGCGTGTGGAATCACTCGTCCCATCTCAGCAGCCCTTCTGCAGTAAGAGTCCTCAGCAAAGAATAACTCCGTAGAGTATCTCCCCTTCTAGCCACCCAAGACTTTCTTTAAGGAAAAATAAGGCAGAAGGCAACAGTAACAATACCCTTTCCTCCGTCATATACAGTAAGCTGACACTGTCTCCTTAGATACAACCTACTTTCCTATACCCTCTGTTGCTAAAGAGAAATTCCTAGCTGGGTTCGGTGGCTCAGCCTGTCATCCCGCGCCTTTGGGAGGCTGAGGTGAGCGGATTGCCTGAGCCCTCGGGTTCGAGACCCGCCTGGGCAGCGAGACCTCATCTCTACAATAAAAATAAAAAAAATCAGTCGGGAGTGGTAGCG